AGGTTTTCACCATGGGCTAAATCAATAAGGATGTACAATCTTCTATATTCAAACTCCAAAAGTGGGAGTTAATTCCCCGTTCCTTATAAAATGCCCAGCACAGCTGATTTGTTGCCACAATGGAAAACAGGCCAATATAGACTTCAAAATTCTTCAAATATGAAGGTTTTCTCTTTCTCCTGTGTAAAGTAACCCAAATAAATTTTTGTGGGTTATTTTGTAGAATATGAAATGCATATACTTAAGATGTACTTTATATGATGCTTTAGGATTTTTCCTCATATTGATCTGGCTGATTCTCAAGTTTTCTCTCCTTTAGTCTACAAACATGATCAGTTACTGAAATTACACAGACATTAATACTGGAGTTACTACCCTAAGATCAGTTAATCCTCTGAAAAATTTCTTTACATCTAACAGTCATGGTAGTAACTGTGCCCTCTTGTATGCTCATGTTAGTAACCATGTAGTAATACCTATTGTCTAGTGCCAGAAAAAAATAAAATATACTCTTTATCTTTGCTCCTTCAGTTACTCGCCTACAAAATCCCCACAGTTTCCTAAAAAAACTATATAATTTAACTTTTTTATAGCTCAATAATATCTTACTCTGAATATATACAATATTTTCATTATTTCTTCTTTAGTTGATGGACAATGAGATTGTTTCTATTTGCTGATTCTTGAGGATAATAAAGGAATGAACATCAATGAGCAAGTATCTCTGTAGCAGGATATACAGTTCTTTGGAAATATGCATGGGGTGGCATAGTTAAATCATATAGGGGATACATTTTTAGCATTTTTTGGAACATCCACAATGATTGAACTAGTTCAAACTCCCAGTAACAGTAAATGATCATTCAACTCTCCCCACATCTACATCAACATTTGTTATGATTTGTTTCTTTAATCTTAGCAATTTTGTCTGGGATAGGCTGAACTTGCATAGTAATTTTAAGTTATATTTCATTAATTGCAAAGAATGTTGAGTATTTTTCAAAATACTTGTCAGTCATTTGTATTCCATCCTTTCAGAATACTCAATTGTAGCTAGAGTTTTCCCTGCCTGGCCCATAGTCAGGACAAATCTCTCTCACCTGTCAGTCTCACAGCCGCTCAGACCCGACCAAGTAAACACAGAGACTTATATTGCTTACAAACTGTATGGCCCTGGCAGGCTTCTTGCTAACTGTTCTTACAGCTTAAATTAATCCATTTCTATAAATCTATACCTTGCCATGTGGCTCATGGCTTACTGGCATCCTCACATGCTGTTTGTCATCATGGCGGCTGGCAATGTCTCTGACTCAGCCTTCCACTTCCCAGCTTTATTCTCCTTCTTGTCCCGCCTATACTTCCTCCTGCCTGACTACTGGACAATCAGTGTTTTATTTACCAACCAATCAGAGCAACACATTTGCCATACAGAACATCCCACAGCACTTCCCCTTTTCTTTTTTTTTCTTTCAAAAAGGAAGGTTTTAACCCTAACAAAGTAAAATTAAATATAATTTGGGAATTTGGGCGTACCTTCTCTTACTACTTCCTGCTGGAGGGGGGCGCTGTATCTTATGGGGACACAAACAAAATTTTAGGATTATGGAATAGTCCATGAGGCTATATTGTCTGAGCCAGTTGCCTTCAAACCATTCTGGATGTTGGATCATCTGGGCCATGGTGTCGTTGGAGACCTTTCAGGGGGTCTTGGCTGGTCAAACCTGATGTATCTTAATCTGGAACAAATCCTTTGGCTTTCTGTGGTAACAAAAGCAGAGTCTCCTTTCCAAAGCAACACATCCTTACATCCAAATTTTGAAGTCAAGGTATCTTTAAAATATGCATATTGGTTTAACTCAACATCTTTTACGATCAAATGTTTTTCTGCAGTTAAAAATTCCAAAGACAACACAATCCAGATTATCTGTGTAATATTCATCTTTACGAGGCTTATTTTTTATATTAATTTTATTGTCTCTTTAAAGATTTTATTTTTTAATACTATGTATTTGTTTCTATAATTGTATATATCACCTTTTTTGTCTCCTTCAAGCCTACGTATATTTTACACACATTGTAAACTATTACATCTAAATCTGCCTTATTGTGAATCTATTGCTTTAAACTGCAGCATTTGTAAGACTGAAAGGGCGCTATGACTGCTGGCTCCACCCACCTCAGCTTCCCAACATGGGGGTGGTATGTTTACCACCAGCTCTGGGAGCTATTGTGGGTCTATGCTTTTATCCAAGCAGTGTGTAGCCCAGAAACCTCTTTTTTTGTTTTGTACTAGCAAAGGCTAAATCCACCATGCAGCTTAATATGCCACTTGCAGAAGCCTCATTCCCGCCATATGGCAGGTCAAGCGCGCACGCTAGGAACCCACAAGTAGATCAAACCTGGAGCTGCCGCTCATTTGAGAGAGACAATTAGGAAGCTGTTTTAGCTCTGTTTTAGAATCTTTTCTCAGGTTTTAGGTGGAAACTCTTGCCAACTCCTTGGGCGCCATTTGTAGCTAGAGTTTTCCTGCCTGGCCCATAGTCAGGACAAATTTCTCTCACTTTCCAGTCCCACAGCCTCAGACCCAACCAAGTAAACACAGAGACTTATATTGGTTACAATCTATATGGCCGTGACAGGCTTCTTGCTAACTGTTCTTACAGCTTAAATTAATCCATTTCTACAAATCTATACCTTCCCATGTGGCTTGTGGCTTACCGGCATCTTCACATGCTGTTTGTCATCATGGTGGCTGGCAGTGTCTCTGACTCAGTCTTCCACTTCCCAGCTTTACTATACTTCCTCCTGCCTGACTAAAACTGGCCAATCAGTGTTTTATTTACCAACCAATCAGAGCAGCACATTTGCCATACAGAACATCCCACAGCACTCAATTTAATTCCATTACTAAATGTTTAAAATGTTTTAACATGATATTTATTTTTTGAATTATTTTTATGTTCTAGATACTAGCCATCTGTCAGATGTAGCTGGTAAAGATATTTTTTCTTATTCTGCAAGCCACATCTTCATCAAAATGATGGTACCCTTTGTAGTATAGAAGCATCTTAGTTTTGTGCGGTCTAGTTTGTCAATTGTTAAAACCTGCATCACTGTGGTTGTTTTCCTAAAATCCTTTCCTGTTTGCATATTAATATAACTATACAAGTTAAAATCCCTAAATTTTCCCAGATTCTTCCCTGATTCATGGTATTGGGTATTATGTTGAGGTCCTTAAGCTATTTGGAGTTGATCGAAATAGTAATTAAAAGTCTCCCAACCCAAGAATCCAAGGTCTAGATGGATTCATTACAGAATTCTAAGAGACTATGAAAGAAGAAATAATATCAATACTACTCAAATTATTATGAAAACAGAAAGAGAATATTTTCATATTGTTATGGAGTCTCATTACCCTGGTACCAAAACTAGATAAAGACTTTCACAAAGAAAGAGAATTATAGGCCTATGCCCTAACAAATATAGACAGAAAAATTCTCAGCAAAATACTTGCAAATGGTATTCAAGAAGAAATACTAAAGATCATCCAAAATGATAAATTTTGCTTCATGTCAGACATGCAGATATGCTTCAACATATAGAAATCAAGCAATGTAGTCTACCACATAAACAGACTCCAGGACAGAAATCACATGATTGTGTCATTATATGATGAAAGTCCTTTACAAAATCCAGCATCCCTTGATGATAAAAGTCCTTCAGAATGAAACCATACAGGTGAACTACTGAATAAAGACAGTATATAAAAAGTACATAGCAAACATCACACTAAATGGAGAAAAACTCAGCATTTCCACTAAAATCAAGAAAAAAAGACTAGGATATCAACAATCTCCATATCTATTAAATGTGTTGATTGAAGTCTTAGCTAGAGAAATAAGACAATAGAAAACAAAAAAAAATGAATATTAATAGAAAAGTAAGAAATCAAAGTGTCCTTATCTGTAAATTATATGATTCTGTTCATAAAAGAACTTAAAGACTCCACCAGAAAACACCTATAACTGATACATGCATTCATTAATGTATTAGGAAACACAATTAACATGGAAGGATTGGAGTAGTCCTCCTTCAGAAAATGAAGCAAAGATAACGAAATAAAAAAAAAACACTACCGGTCATAACAGCTTTGAAAATATTTACTTGAGAATAAATCTGACAACAAAAGTGGAAGACTTGTGCAATGAAAACTAAGAAACTGAAGAAAGTAATTGAAGAAGAGACTAGGTGGAAAGAATGTCCATTTTTATGAATTAGTAGGGTTTACAATGTAAAAATGGCCACCCTACCAAAAGCAATCTACAAATTCAATGGCATACCAATAAAATTACAATGTAGTTCTTAAAAGAAAATGAAAAAAACATAATTGAAACATTCATTACTAACAAAGACCTAGGATAGCCAAACAAGACTGAACATCCAAAATACTGGTGTAAGTACCATCATTCCTTATTTCAAGTTATATTACAAAGCAGCAACAATTAAAACAAGCTTAAAAACACATACATTCATCAATGTAGTACAACTGAAGATACAGATTTAAGCTCACACATACAAATCCACCTCAGTTTTGACAAAGGGGCCGAATGTATTTTGGGAGAAATCAATGGTGATGATGGAATAACTAGATACCTACACAGAAAGGAATGATTCTAGATCCACATATCTCACTCTATATAAGCCTCCATGTGGATTGAGGACCTCAGCATAAGATCTGAACCAAGTAGTGATTATTAGATACTAAAATATGCAACTCTAAGCCACAAATATGGTTTCTAGGTTTTCTGTACATTCTAACTTCTAAATTCTAAATCTTCATAGTGGTCTCTTCAAGTTCATGTGCAATAGGCTTAGCAACCGGTTTTACTAACAATGATCTAATCGTTGAAATATTATAGATTCTTTAGTCCTTCCTTCAATGATTGGATTGTTAGCTAGACTCTGCTATTAAACCAAATCTTTAAAATTTCTCCTGGAAGGGAGACAATGGGGCGGAGGGCACTGTGGTAGCCGCCGCCACTGCGCCTGACCCGCTCGGCCTCCCGCGACTGGCTGCCGCTGGAACCACCCTAAGAACAGGATATGTATTCCTCGGAGAAAGCCTGAACAGTAGATCTTGGTTTAATACTGGACTAGGACAACACAGAGACTTTTCCAGTCATGAATTCGGACCAGGATGTAGCATTCAAACTTGCTCAAGAATGAGCTGAAATAGTTGCTAAATATGACAGAGGACGAGAAGGTGCAGAAATCGAGCCTTGGGAAGATGTGGATTATCTTGTTTACAAAGTCACTGATAGATTTGGCTTTTTACATGAGGAGGAACTCCCGTATCATAATGTAGCTGTGGACTGGCAAAAGCAACTGGAAACTGAAAGAACCACCAAATGGCTGAAAATGCTGAAAGGATGGGAAAAATACAAAAATACTGAGAAGTTTCATAGACGAATTTACAAAGGAATTCCACTCCAGCTACGAGGTGAAGTCTGGGCTCTTCTTCTTGAGATCCCTAAAATGAAGGAAGAAACAAGAGACCTTTATAGTAAATTAAAACATAGAGCACGGGGTTATTCACCTGACATCAGACAAATAGACCTTGACGTGAACCGCACATTTAGGAACCATATTATGTTTAGAGACAGATACGGTGTTAAGCAATAATCCTTATTCCATGTTCTTGCTGCATATTCTATCTATAATATGGAAGTTGGATACTGTCAGGGGATGAGCCAAATAACAGCCCTACTCCTCATGTACATGAATGAGGAAGAAGCCTTCTGGGCCCTGGTCAAACTCTTCTCTGGCCCCAGACACGCTATGCATGGCTTTTTTGTCCAAAGTTTTCCTAAACTCTTGAGATTTCAAGAACATCATGAAAACATTCTGAATAAATTTATGTCCAAACTTAAGCAACACTTGGTAGGTAGATGTGCCGCTGACTATAGCCACCTACACCGAGAGTGAAGATGTGGTGATTAATTAAATTCAGCCTGGGTTCCCTGTTCCTGGTTAGCTCACTGTGTAGTCAGAATCCTCAATTGTTTGAAGAACATTAGATTTGTAAAATTTAGTATTAATAGACTACCACAGTCCTAATTCATAGTTTCAGATTACTTCTATGAAACTGATAAATACTACTAATAAAAATTTTACAAATGTGTGAATTCTCCATTTTTTTAGGTTTTAAATTGTACAGATAGTATTATAAGAAGCATAAGAATTGCTTCCTTGTGAATCACATGCTTGCTTTACTATAAAATATATTGGTGACCCAATGAGAAGGCAGAACAGAAAGTCTTTATAAAGACAAAAACACAGGAAGTAGCTCTCTTGGCTGAAGAGGCTAGCTGCAGCAGACAGGTAAGGCTCTTAGCTCTGATCTCTTGACTTTCTTCTTTGCATTGGTTCTGTGTTTCTTATTTAATAAGACGGTTGGTTACATTTACATTTGCTATTCTTTCATTGAAGACAAAGCTCAGTGTGGGCTGTTCAGGAGCCCATTTACTTTTTACAGTTTATTGTTTATTTCTTTCTATCTTTAGTTTTATTAATAAGATTTTTGATAATTTCATATATGACCATTGCATCTATATTACTGCTACTCTTTCTTACTCCCCAACTCCTCTTTCTCATTTCAAATTCATATTTCCTTTATTATTGGTATATGTATACAAATATATATTTACATATTTATTTGTATACACATACACAGACACTTATACACATATTCCACCAAGCCCATTTAGATTTTCACATTTGTGCATATGTCTAGAACTGATTATTTGGGATTGGACAACATATGTGGGTGCACCTCTGGAGGAAATTAACTCTCCCTCTTTCAATAGTCATTAATCCCTGTAGTACTACAACTAGAGGTGGTACCATACTAAATATGCCTTATCCATTGCTGTCATGTGAACTGGTGTTGTCATTATTCTTATCTATCAAGAAACCATAATGCTGAGAGTTCATGAATGTACTTTCCTTGTCGTGTATAGGAGTCATAATTTTTTTGAAAACAACACTGGGCCTCTGGTTCTTAGAATATTTCTTTTCCTTATTCCATAGTTTCTTCTGAGTCTTAGGGTTAGAGGTTATGTTGAAATTGAGTCAGTTGGAAATGGGCATCTGAGAGTCTTATTCTCAGGACTTTGATTAGTTGTCTATCATTGTAATTGTCACTATCTGTTATGAAAAGAATCTTCTTTGATAACAGGTGAGAGCTACACTTTCTGTGCATATAACAATAGGTGTTTAGAAAACAGTAAAGATACTTCATGAAAACATGGGCATTATCCTACATGATATGAGTATATGACTTCATTTGCCCCAAAATTAAGGATGGAAATTCACAAATGGGACTTCATAAAACTTAAAAAGCTTCAGTACATGTAAACAATCAGCCAACCTGGAGAAGATGAAGAAGCCATACATTAGGAGAAAACCTTTGCCAGATATACAACTGAAAGAGAATTAGTATCCAGAATATATATTTTTCAAGAAGCCAAAAGCAAGTCAAAACAAAAATCACCCAAGCTACTTGTGGGTCAATACACCTTTGGTGGAGTAGCAATAGCAAAATTACAGTCATGAAATAGTAATAAAAATCAATTTTTGGTTAAGAGTCACCACATTAAAGGGTCATAGCACTAGGAAGGTTGAGAGCCACTTAGCTAAATGAATGGATAATGAAAATGTAGTGCAATGGAATACTATTCAGATGTAAAGAAAAATAACTTGCCAAAATGTGAAGTAAATATTTGCAATGGGAATATATTATACTGATCTAAACCCAGAAAGACAAATGTTTCATGTTCTTCCTTATTTGTGCTTCCTGGTTCAGAATATTTAGATATGAGTATACAATATACAACATAAAACATAGAGTACGTACAATAACCATGAAAACAAACAAACAAAAAAAGATGAGAAAACAGAAAGCTTAAGAATAAGGAATGTTAGGACACAGGTGATACAAAGAAGAAAATGAAAAAAATGGTGGACACTTTTAATTGGGGAAGTGACAAAGAAGGCACTACAAAGGGGTTTGGTGGAGGGAAGAGTGATACATCCCACTAAGGATGTCTGAAAAGGTGAAGAGAATAATTATGTTCACCTAAATTACATATATCATGTATGTATATTGTGTACATAGATATGTGGTTCAAAGAAGTTATGCCACTAATGACAACAATGATTCCCTTCATAATCATGGACTATCTATCAAAAACTTATACAATGCATGAGAAACATCCTATTGGCTTATTTGTCAGGGGATTTGAAGAGGCCCACCAAAATAATATAGGCTATTAATACCGCTCTTTTTTTTTGCCTCTTACAAAATGAAGGTGTTGAGATCCTATTGCTAAAGATAACATCCAGTTTGAACACAATACTTGGCAAAATCTAACTGGTACTGACTTTGTAGCCTCTTCACTGCTAAGGGGCTCTCATAGTACTGGAAAGTGCTATGCAAGTTTCTGAGGGGAAGAACAATCAGTAATCATGCCTAGCTAGAATACCTATGAGCTACAGAAATGACTACAATCTTAGCAGTAACCAAGTTCTGTCTAATTGGACTTAAGGCCTGCTTAATAGCAGTGAATTCATACCTGCTACTGTAAATCTAACCAACTAGCCATGGCTGCAGTGGCCAAAGACCTGAGAGGAGGACCTAGCTATACTCATTTCCTAAACTGATGTAATTTTCAACTGATTTTTTAATAATTGTAACAATTACAATATTTTCATCTATTATTTAGAAATTTCACACCTCATATATTGTATTTTAATAATACCTACTTCATACTCCCTTTCAAATCTTCTAGAACTCCCCTTGTGTTAATTATTTTTCTAATGTCGTGAAAACACATCATAACCAAGGTGACCTTTAAAAAAAAGCACTTACATGGGGGCTTATCATTTCATAGGTTTAGGGGATACCACTATGTGATGGTAACATGGCAGCAGGCAGGTAGGGAGGCAGGCATGGAACAGGAGCAGTAACTGAGAGCTTCCATGTTGAGAAAACAACCACAAGGCAGAAAAACAGAGAGCTATGTGGGAATAGTGTGGATATTACAGTTTTTAAACGTCAAAGCCAAATCCCAGTAAAAACTTCCCTAAAAAGACCAGGCCTAATATTCCTACTCAAGCAGTTCCATCAACTACAAACAATATATCTGCCTAAGGGGATCATTCTCAATTAAACCACCACACATCCCAACATGTTCTCCTCCTAACTTCATGTAACATTCTTTCTTCGAATATGTTCCTTAGTCCAATTAGTGCTGAGTTTGCATAAGTGTGGATAATTCACTGCAGTATAAGCAAGTTATTAGTGGCCACACAGAGAAATGACTCTACACTTAATTCTTAATTATAAGCTCTCCTATACAGAAAAGTAATACATTATAGAAAAACAACCAGTTTTTATTTCACACATGACTTCTTTGTCATGTGAGACTTGATTTCCTTTTGAAGTACTTAAATCATCACCTCGGTAAAGATGATCCTATGCACTGGGATTTATTTTGTGCAAGTCAATAACATTACATTTCTTAAAAAAATGTTTTACCACTCAAGTCTGGACTCTTCATGACCAGCACAAGAACTGTAATAAAGTACAAATCCCCAAAACTCATTCTACTTGCTTTTAAAAATTGCTTTTATCACAAATTTTGTGTATTGGGTATTTTAAGAAGATATTGAGTCAGAAATGCAAGGAGCATTTTAGAAATTGGTAATGCCTCTGCATGATAAATGAATGTATGAAGAAGGTTCATGTGAGAAAGTATTTATGCCATATAGATATGGTATGCATGACAGAAGGTTGGGAAAGCAGCTGAACTGAGTACAGAGATTCTTAGATTCTGGTGAAAAACACATTCCCCTGGAATAAAGTCTGTTATTTAATTAAATATCCCCATTGAGAGAAATAATGAAGTTAAAGGAGAGCTACTGTGATAAGTTGTTGATTGGGTCCTGTCGCATAAGAATGAGGTTTTGGTTCACAGATAAAGCACATGCTGAAGACACTGGCAGCCAGATGATTTCTTCACAAGCCACTCTTCACAGTCTCATCATTTTTGTCATAAAAATTACATATATCCATATGGCATGTACATACATAGTATTTTTTGATTTTCCTCTGACTGCTATCCCAAGGTTTCTGTTCCTCCCTTTCTCTATTATACTTTTCCACCTTCAGTATTGCTATTTCATGCTCCTCCATTTAGGCTTCTCCCCACCCCACCATAAAACTTATAGGTCTTTCTGGATGGTAAAATTTGTCTACATTGTCATCCACTTATAAATACATTAACAATTAGAAGGTGGGAACTTTGTAGGATAAAAAGTATGTGGTATTTTTCTTTCTGAGCTATGATTAATTAGTTTTATACAGTGTTTGTAAGTCTCACACATTTTGCACCCAATGTTAGAATTTCATTTTTCTTTACAATTTAATAGAATTACATTGTGTATATGTACCACATTTCCAATATCCCTTCATCTACTGAATCCATTTTCTTGTTATTGTGAATAGTGTTCAAATAAACATGTATGTGCAAGTATTTCTGTAATAGGATGTGTAGTTGAAGTTTTCCTGTGCCCACTGGCTCCTGTGTCCTTGTATTTCCACAGCTGCTCAGACCCAAATAAACACACACAGGCTAATATTATTTAAAACTGCTTGGCCATTAGCTCAGGCCTACCACTAACTAGATCTTACACTTAGACTCAGCCCATTTCTGTTAATCTAGATGTTGCCATATATTCTGTGGATTTACCTATGTGCCTGTTACATGCTGTTCCCTGGATGGTGGGCTGACATATCCTGACTCAGCCTTCCTCTTCCCTCAATTTTCTTCCCTGTTTGTCCCACCTATACTTCCTGCCTGGCTACTGGCCAATCAGCATTTTATTTATACAGAGTGATATCCACAACAAGGATGTAAAGTCCT